TCGAGAATCTAAATCGAAAATGAATAGGAGAAATTTGATGACCATGTATTATGAAAAATCGAGAATCGGAATCGAAAAAAGATAGAGGAAATTCGATGAACATGATTGAGAGTAAGAAATCGATAATACAGTATTGAGTGGAAAGTTAAGTTTAAGAGAAATCAGAAGCAGTTCAAAGTACTCGATATCTAGAATCGAGATCGAGGGGAACTCTTATCATACACATGGAACATAGGAAGCGGCTTTCCAAATCGTGGCTAAGATAGAAATTGAGGAATGGTTAACGCGCACATGGAACATGGGAATCGGTTTTTTAACCGTGGAAAAGGTGGAAATCGAGGCAACATGCACATGGAACGTGGTAGCAGTTTTTTAACCACTCTTAGGAGGTTACGTTGAAGCAAGACTATAAATAGAATGAAGCGTGAAGAAGGGGAAATTGGCAGAGACAACAGAAACACAAGTGAAAAGTCTACCGGAGAACGACGAATCATGAAGGAAAATCGAGAATATGAATCGAAAATCGAAAGAAGGAATTCGATGACTGTTTTAAGGAGAATCGAGAATCTAAATCGAAAATGAATAGGAGAAATTTGATGACCATGTGTTATGAAAAATCGAGAATCGGAATCGAAAGAAGATAGAAGAAATTTGATGAACATGATTGAGAGTAAGAAATCGATAATAAAGTATTGAGTGTAAAGTTAAGTTTAAGAGAAATCAGAAGCAGTTCAAAGTACTCGATGTCTGGAATCGAGATCGAGGAGAACGATTATCATGCACATGGAACATGGGAAGCGGCTTTCCAAATCGTGGCTAAGTTAGAAATCGATGAACGGTTAACGCGCACATGGAATATGGGAAGCGGTTTTTTAACCGTGGCTAAGGTGGAAATCGAGGCAGTTAACATGCACATGGAACGTGGTAGTGGTTTTTTAACCACTCTTAGGAGATTACGTTGAAGCAAGACTATAAATAGAATGAAACGTGAAGAAGAAGGGGAAATTGGCAGAGACAACAGAAACACAAGTGAAAAGTCTACCGGAGAACGACGAATCATGAAGTTTCTGCCGATCTGAATTTCCATTTTCATTGATTGTTTTTACCGCTTTTTTTACTTTCCCTGATACTTTATCTTTAATGCAATTTAAATTTATATCATTTACTCTTATGCAATTTTACGATTCTGCATTTACTCTTATGCCATTTTATGATTCTGCATTTACTCTTATGAAATTCTACGATTCTGCATTTACTCTTATGTCATTTTACGATTCTGTATTTACACTTATGCAATTTTAAGATTCTGCATTTACACTTAACGCAATTTTATTTTTATATTATTTACTTTTAGTGCAATTCGACAACTTTTACTGTTTTCTTTACTTCTATTAAGTTTCATTTTCTCGAGTCTTTTAATATAAAAAAATACAAAAAAATACTTTCGATTTCGATATGTATGCTTTATCATGCATTCCGTGTTTCTAATATACATGCATGCTTTATTTTTCATTCGACTCGATCATCGTGACATTTTCGATTTTCATACATTTTTTGATTGAAAACTGTTTGCTAGCCTAAATAAAAAAAATTGCGTGATTAAAATTTGGTTAGAACTTAAATCTCTAGGACATCGAAAACAACCAAAATTTTCACCAGAAACAAGTATATACATGAATTCTAAAACAAAGGTATTAGATACCAAAAACCAATCTTTCTAGTAATTTCTCATGTTTAAAAATAAAGTCTATATTAGAAACTCTCCTCTTGATGCATTAAAAATAAGATAAAAACACATTGATAACATTTTGTTTAATAAGTTATTTTTTTGTTTTTACTTTTAATGCATGAAAATTTGTCCTATTCAAAGTTGATAAATGATATACTCTATAATAATTAGATTTAATTATATTTTAATGTAGAAAGCCAGCTTTATGCTTGGAGGCTGGCCCAAGCCTGGTAATTGTTGTTGAATAGTTGAATTTTTTTGCTGTTTTTAGTAAAATTAGTAGTTAAAATAATTTATTAGAAGTGTAAGTAATAAGGTAAACATAAGTTACATTTATCAGTTGGTCCCAACTTATCTTAAATTGGCAAGATGTGGTAGTAATTTTGGTTCGTTAATATATTTCAATTTCTATTAATCCAACGAGTTAATTATGATATAATGGAGACAGATCGATCTATTAATCCTTTTTTTAATATTTATATATAAAATAAAATTAATTATAATTAAAAATATTATAATTTTTTTGTTATATTATTAAAATATATAAATATATTATAATTTAAATTATAAATACCAATCAATTAACTTAAATTATAAATTATGATTAAATATTTTATTAGAAAAATATAATAATTTTTTAAATTTACTTAAGAAAAATATTAAATAATAAATACAATTTTTTTTAATATTTATATAATTAACGACGTATTTTAAAAATACATATATATAAAAAAATTTATAAAAAAAATATTATCAAACTTGTTTGGTAAGACAAACTAAAATTTATAATCTGTGGTCAACTTTAATTATGATGCACTATCCCACTTTAATTTTGATGGATTAGAAGTTGTATTTAAAAGTTAACTTTTTTTAACAATTATATAATATCTATATAAAAGAAATTTTCTCCATTTTTTTTTCACATGAATTTGAATTTGCCATCAAATATCAGTCAACGAATTATTTTAATTATATTATCAACGTTTTTCATATTAAAAAAAATTCTATCAGATCTATTATTCATTATCTCTTTATTACATTTTTTTTTCTCTCTCTCTCTCCCAAGACATAAACACTTTAAAATATATGATTTTCTAATAGTTGTTGACATCTACAATTTGATTTTACACTTAATCAATGATACTCAAATCTTTTGAAATAAATTTTCATAATCTATTTTTTCATAATTATATATATATAAAGTTCATTGCATTTACTTTTGGTTGAGTTTGGATGAAGCAGTAATGTAATGTGTACAACCTAAAATTTAACACAATCCAAATTCTATATTAAAAAAAAATATAATAATAATACTATAATGTTTGGTTGGGCTATTAAGTCAAAATATTCCTAACGTAACCCCTCCACCGTTCAACAACTTCAACCATCTGAAAGAGCAATTATTTTCCACCTTTTTTTTTCTAAATTATTTTCTGGCTTTTTAGAAATATAATATTTATTTATGAAAAAAAAAACTCTAAATGAAAATGGTCAAAGGTCAACATTATTGGTGGGCATCCAGGCGTTGTCGTTTTATTGCTGCCAGCCAAAGACCTTCCGCGTGGAATCAGAACCTTTAATTTTATCCATTTTTCAAGGTTGTTGGCAGAGTCAGCATAATCTTTAATGCTAAAAATTACAAAAATAAAAGGTTAAACAACATAAATATTGTCACTCACTTTACATATGCCTTTTTAATTTTTATATTATAAAAATTTAATAATTTTTATTATTCTGTCAATTTATAATTACCAAACATAAAAATTGTCAATAATGAGAAGTGCATTAATAGGTCCTTTGTTTTAAGTTTTTCGTAACAAGTATTTTAAAATTATTAAGCAAATTTGACTCTCTTTTTTAAACGTTAAAACTATTTTTAAATATAAATATAAATTATAATTATAATCCGAAGCTTAATTTGTTGACATAATGTGTTACAAATATCTTTTTTTCTTTTAAAAAAAATTATAAATATATCTTTATTTGCATATAACTTATATATTTAGATAATATTTATAGAAATATTTTTTCAAATACCTACTTGTATTTCTAAAGAGATTTTATTATATGAAACTTATACTTTTTGCCAAATTTTTTCATGTGTACAATAGTGATATTGTAGTAGAGAAAAAACTAAAAACAATATGTGAAGTAATTCGTCAAATAAATCACAAACTAAGTTGAGTCAAAAGTTCATACAAGCTCTAAATTATGATGATGAAGGTGAAGAATGTTTTCGAAGAATAATACTAATACTTAATTTTCTAGGGGGAATTTTTTTCCAAGAAAGACGTAATGAGTTGAATAGAATAGAAGTTTCTTCTTCTTTTTTTATTTTTTATGTTTAGCTAATTCCACAAACGTTTTCTTACTTGTACAGTTGTTCTAGAAATGAATAAAAGAAAATGAATAAAAATATATTTTAAATGTGAACCAGCCGAAAGTACGAAACATCGTAGATCTTTTGTCGCCATCGAAGGGTCCAATGATTTATTTTTACCGAAATATATTTTCATTTAAATTGAAATTAAAACAATGAATATCCAAATGTCAGAAGATGCACGCAATTACGCAATCATCCAAGACGTGGGGTTGGGGGTGAATTTCATTCACTACCTCCATACCATATCATTTTACGAATAATCCAATAAAAATTATACCTTAATTATTTTTAAGATTTAATTAAATATTAATATAAATTAATCAGTTGAAAAATATATTTATATAATATATTTCCTCAGGTGTTTTATCTATCTTTGACTATTTACTATAACTTTTAAACATGAAAAGTGCATTAAAAAATATATACCCTTAACCTTTTCCATTTCATATTTAATGACACCTGACAAAATTATTTAATTCTTTATATATAAAGTATGCAAAAGCACGAATTTAGAAGATCGGTGATAAAAAAAGAAAAAGAAAAATTATAGATTCTCTGACATGTATTCTTTAGAATGCATTTTTTTTATAGACTGAAATTATAAATTAAAATTCATGAACAATTATATTTTATTTTATTTTATAACCGAAAACTATTGTTGAGCTTTGGGATATTCGTTTTGGAAAATTTTAAGATACAAATTGAGGTTGAATTGGATAAGTGTTTTAAATTCTCAATTTATTATTACTTAATTCCCAAAAGCCACCAATTTCTTTTCTTTTTCTCCACTGAACTCTTCTCTCTCCTCTGCTTCTTTCTTCCGCCGGAAAACCCACCGGCGTCACTTCACGCCAAAACCCAGACTCTCACTGTTCTAGAGGGCGCAGTATGGGAAACTGCAACGTGTGTGCGAAAGCTGATGTGGTGGAAGATAATAGCAAGAAGTCGAGCGACGAGAGCCGCGCCCGGAAGAAAGAGGCGAACCGGAAAAAGCAGAACCCGTTTTCGGATGAACCGGGGCGGTCGGCGGCGCCGATCCGCGTTCTGAAGGACGTGATTCCGATGAGCCACAGAACTCGCATAAGCGATAAGTACATATTGGGCCGGGAATTGGGCCGGGGCGAGTTTGGCATCACCTACCTCTGCACGGACAGGGAAACGAAGGAGGCGTTGGCCTGCAAATCGATCTCGAAGCGGAAGCTGAGAACCCCCGTGGATATCGAGGACGTGCGGCGAGAGGTGGCTATCATGTCCACGCTGCCGGAGCACCCCAACGTTGTGAAGCTCAAGGCGACCTACGAGGACAACGAGAACGTGCACCTCGTGATGGAGCTCTGCGAGGGTGGAGAGCTCTTCGACAGAATCGTTGCACGCGGACACTACAGTGAGCGCGCTGCCGCCGGTGTGGCACGCACCATCGCTGAAGTTGTGAGAATGTGCCATAGCAATGGCGTTATGCACCGAGACCTCAAGCCTGAGAACTTCCTCTTCGCGAATAAGAAAGAAAATTCCGCTCTCAAAGCCATTGATTTTGGCCTCTCCGTGTTCTTCAAACCAGGTAAGACAATTAAGAACTTACAACAAGAACTGTTTGGATTATTTGTTTCTTTTTTTAATATTTTGGGTGTTTTTATAGGGGAGAGGTTTACGGAGATTGTGGGGAGTCCTTACTACATGGCGCCGGAGGTTTTGAAGCGGAATTACGGGCCGGAGGTGGATGTGTGGAGTGCTGGGGTGATTCTTTACATTTTGTTGAGTGGGGTTCCTCCGTTTTGGGCAGGTAGGGATTTGTGTTTGGGTTGTTTTACTTTGGTTGAATTTTTCTGTGTTTTGTTTTGATTTGAGGTTTTGGTGTGACTTTTGGGTGTGACAGAGACTGAGCAAGGTGTGGCCTTGGCGATCTTGAGGGGTGTGATTGACTTCAAGAAGGAACCTTGGCCGCAGATATCGGAGAGTGCCAAGAGCCTTGTGCGCCGAATGTTGGAGCCTGATCCTAAAAAGCGCTTGACAGCTGAACAGGTGCTTGGTAAGTCATTCACTCTCTGTACTGTGTGGTTTAGTGTACTTCTGTCTACTAACTGGGTGGCAAGATGGAGGTTTTTGTTTTTTTACATTTTTTTGTACTCATAATATGTTAACCTTTGCCCTTGTGGTTTCATTAGAATTGGGTTAAGTGGAGAAGTATGATAAGTGCGTTTCAGATCTCAGTGTGTTTCGTAGGAATTGGTTTTAGTGCAGAAGTATGATAAGGGTGTTTCAGATTTCATTTCAGCATGTTTTGTAGGCTTTCAATAAATGACATGTCAGGTATCACTATAACTTTTGTACATTGGTATTGGTGTCCACGGGGGATGCCACATAAACATTCGTTTACTTCTCTGCTAAATTCTTGCATCGTTATGACTTGAAATTTGGGTGGACGAAATTTGTCCACAGAAAGCCTTTAAAATGAACATGGGATATAAGAAAAAAGTAAAAACCCTTAAAATATTTGTTATTCATGGTTTTATTCCAGAATAGGTAGCTACAAGGCTTGTGAAAAAAATTTCTTTGTGGTGGGATTAGAAGGTGGCTCTTGGGATTAATTGTTAGAAACTACAAATTATATGGGAATGTGGAAACTAAAAATATTCATTTCTCGGAGTCATAACTCTATCTTTGGTTGAAAATCTTATTCACTAATTCATATATTTTCCGCTGACTCAACCGGGCATACTGTTTATTTATGGTTTATTTTTAGGATGCTATTATTTTGTGCTTTTATTGGGTTAGTTAGCAAGCTATGACTTTACACAAGATGAGTTTCATTCAAGTTTCAACCAACGTCCATAAGCTAAGCTGATTAATTTTTCATTTGTTTCTGGGTTTAAAATGTTATAGTGTTCATGCATCCTGTCTTGCTAAGGCGTAAGTAGGAGTGGGGGAGGGAATACATTTTCACTGCTTTGAGGTTGAAAAGTGGTATTTTTAATTATTTTGTTGTTCTTATTATTTTTATATAAACAGTGATATTCGTGGTCTATTTTGTGCCTTTGATGGTTTTGTTTTGATAACTAAATAGGTTTATCTTGTGGGGGCTTCAAAATCTTACTTAATGTTACAACAGTTTGAAACAGCTGCGTATATCATTTAATTTTTCTTTGTTTCTAAAGTAACATTCTCACTCTCACCCCTATCCTTACCCATTTCCTCCTTCTCAATGTGGAAAATAAATTGTTAAATATTTGAACCCTTACCACATGGTTGGGAGACATGACTTGAAAGTCTTCTGATTGTTTACCATCTGTGATTTGTTTACAGAACATCCCTGGCTGCAAAATGCAAAGAAAGCTCCAAATGTTCCATTGGGAGATATTGTGAGGTCAAGGCTTAAGCAGTTTTCTGTGATGAATAGATTCAAAAAGAAAGCTCTGCGGGTTAGCATCTATTGTGGTTTATACTTGATTGTTTACTCAAGTCCTTATGTGATTGAAATAGTAAGTTGAAAAGTTGGTGATTTAGGTTTCTTTGAATGAACGCTACAGGTAATTGCCGAACATTTATCAGTTGAAGAGGTAGAAATAATCAAAGATATGTTTACATTGATGGATACTGACAAAGATGGCAGAGTAACATATGAGGAACTGAAGGCTGGGTTGAGGAAGGTTGGTTCACAATTGGCTGAGCCAGAGATAAAGATGCTGATGGAAGTGGTAAACTTATATATCACTTACTACGTAATTACTTCAAATAATATTAGTTCTTTTATCATTACCGCGTTGGAAGCATTTTTTTGGACATCTTCTGCTTCATTTCTCACAAGTCTATGCACTTTGAAAACAACCAGTGCAGAGTTCTACTGTAATTAGGATTTTTTTCTCCTATATACTCCATTACATATGAATGTGGCATGATGTACATGACAAATATGACTTGTATTGCAATTTGGATGTTGCATTCGGGAAACATCATTTGATATGCCAGTATGCTACATTTAACCAAATATTGGGGTGGATAGTATTTCTAAATCTATTAATAAGGAGCCTTTATTTCATGGTAATATATGTTAAAAGGTCATATCATCACCTTCATTTGCTCTCTTGTGGAGATTATTTAAGGCACTGCTAGAGGAAAGTGGCACCAGTTCATACTTTCGTATAAAGCTAGTGAAACTCTTTCACTTTCATTGGAAGTGAGATTCATATATCTAAAGTCAAATAAATTGAGTTGCAGTTCATCCCTTAATCTTGGACTTGTCAAGTGTATTTGTCATAAAACTTGGGATTCAAAAATGGTTTCATTTGTTTTGAATTACATAGGCTGATGTTGATGGGAATGGAGTACTTGACTATGGAGAGTTTGTAGCAGTTACAATTCACTTGCAAAAAATGGAGAACGATGAGCATTTCCACAAAGCATTCAAGTTTTTTGACAAAGATGGGAGTGGATATATTGAGCTAGTTGAGTTACAAGAAGCATTAGCAGATGAGTCAGGAGAAACTGATGATGATGTATTAAATGATATCATGCGTGAAGTCGACACTGACAAGGTTTGACTTCATGCTCATCACTTATTATTTACTTATTACTAGCTTTCCATTATTAGAATAACTGTTGTTTAGTTATTATATCTACGATGTGTGAAATTTCAATGGAAATTACAATTATTTGCCACCTCACATTACATTACTTTATCACCTCGTCTACACGTCCTGCGTGCTTCTCAATAAGTCTTTCCATCGTTTTTTGTGTTCACTTCATAGGATGGTCGCATCAGTTATGAGGAGTTTGTGGCAATGATGAAAACTGGAACTGACTGGAGAAAAGCATCTAGGCAATATTCAAGGGAGAGATTCAAGAGTTTGAGCCTAAATCTGATGAAGGATGGCTCGCTTCAGCTTCATGATGGCATTACTGGTCAAGCTGTGGTGGTTTAGTGTAAAGTAATTTCTTTCTGTAACCTCATTCCATGTTCTGCGTTACTCATTTTTCTTGCATCACTTATTGTGCTTGAAATATCGTGTTCGGAATCTCTCCATGAAAGCAAGTTTTGGGAAGGTTTGAGTTTTTAGTGTTTTAAGATCTAATGATCTTGGGTTGGAGTTGGAGTTGGTTAGCTTAGTTTTCTCAGTTGGTGTGGATGTTAGATGCCTGAAGCTTGCGTTGGAGGACTGCAATTGCATACTAAAAAGATGGTTCATAGCTTGTTGCCAAAAAGTGTGGAGCACATGCGACAGCTGCATACCCGAAAATGATTACATATTCTTTGTATATCTGTGTTACATTTTGTATTTGATAATTCTATTGGTAAATGTGATTTTTCTAACTTGTGTGCAGAAAACCAGTTGTAGGACTTGTCTCATTGGCGACATGAAAGTCTAGGTATCTTGTAGTTGAATCAATTTAATTTGTCTGAAATTGTAGCTAAGCCCATATTTTAACTATTCTCCCTTTGTTTAGGCATGCTTACTTGTCCATGTTCTAATCTTTATGGTTAATTTTGATAAACCAAAGTAATAAAAAAGTAGTTTGTCAAGGCAATATAATAATCCAATAGAAGAATAGATACTTAAAAATTAAATAGATCAGTTAAGGACAATCAAGAATAATAAAAAATAATATAAAAATAAATTAAGATTTAGATTAATTTGGATTGAAACACGCTTAACATTATCCTTAAAGAGGAAACGTTTTCATTGTATTGTTAGTATTGAATTTCTTAGTGTATTCCTTTCTCAAGATATATTATTAAATTTTTTAGTGCGCCCCTTTCTCAAGATATATTAATCCGATAGATTGTTCAAATACAGCAAAGATGTTCGAACTAATGAACATCACTCTAAATATTTAGAAGAGAAATGATTTTAATATTATATTTTTTTCCTTTTTTCTAACATAATGTATTTATAAATGTAACAATTAAAAAAAAACTATGTAAAAAAAATGTAGTCAATTCGCATACTATTCACCAATAAAGGAACCACTAAATATTTTAAGCAATTAATAAAAGATTTAGTCAAATATTTAAAATAATAATAATGCAATAATAATAATAATAAATATATAATTTAATTTTTAAATTAATTTTCAACCTTCCCTCACAGTTTAAAATTTAAATAAAGAGAATAATGGAAAATATAAATATATTAAACATAAAAAATGGAGCATGATATATTATTTTTTTAGTATAAGCAACTTTTTGAAATCAAGTCTTTTCGCTAATGCTTATGAACTTCTACATTAGGAAATATAGATATAGATGCTAAGTCACATAGGTTAAGAACATAACATTATATAATAAATGTATTTATTGATTTTTAATATGTGGTGTGTATTTAGAAATTTGTTCTTTTTTTTTTTATATTAGGGACTTCACTACCACATTTACTAGGTAAACTCTCAAAGGTGGTTTGTGATTCACCTCTATAATGATTGTCATTAAGTTCATTAAGAAGTATTTTAAATACAATAATATACATATTTCAACCTTCTTATTGTCACAATGTTATTTAGTTCATTAAGAGGTATTTTTAATACAATATTCAACTTTCTTATTGTTGAGAATTTCAAGTATAAGTTTGAAGTCTCACATTAGGTAGAAATAAGAATCCTCTCTCGCCAATTAATTGGGGTTATAGTTAACAAAACATGTTTTCTCCTTGCAGATAGCAAATTTTCCAATAGGTAAAGATTTTGTCATCATATATGAGTCATTCTCATTTGTATGGATGTTTTCTAATGATAATTGCTTCATTTCGAAAGTATTATGGATTCAATGATATTTGACCTCAATATGCTTTGACCTTGAATGAAAGGTTGAGTTCTTGCCGATATGGATTACACTTTTACTATCACAATACAAAACATATTTTTCTTGTGAAAGTCCTAACTCTTGTAGGAATTTTTGCATCCACAAAAGTTCCTTTGCAACTTCTGTAACAACAATATATTCTACCTTTGAAGAAGATAGAGCAACACATTTTTGTAATTTGGACTACCATGACATTACCCCCCCTACAAAAGTCATCATATATCCAGAAGTAGACTTCCTAGAATCTACATCACCAGTCATTTATGCATCTGTGTAACCATTTAACACAGGCTTACCACTTTCAAAGCATAAACACTCTCTAGAAGTACCTTTGAGGTACCTAAGTATCCATTTCACAACTAACCAACGCTCTTTGCCTGGATTAGCAAGGAAACGACTAACAACACTGACAACATGGATAATGTCTGATCTTATACACATCGTAACATACATAAAACTGCCAACTGCAGATAAATATGAAATTTTCTGCATTTCTTTTTTCTCTTTCTCACTTGTAGGACACTGCTTTGAGTTTAACTTAAAATGACTTGCAAGTGGAGTGCTGACAGATTTAGAATTGCCCATATTAAATCTCTCTAATATCTTCTCAATATATTTTTGTTGTAATAGCCATAATTTTTTATTTTTTTCTGTCACGAACAATTTTTATGTCAAGGATTTGCTTTGCAGAACCCAAATCCTTCATTACAAAGGACTTGTTCAACTTTTAAGGCTTTGAATTTCTCTCATATCATGACCAACAATCAACATGTCATCAACATAAAAAGAGAATAATAAATCTTCCATCAAAAAATTTCTTAACAAAAACAAAATTATCATAAGAGGTTTTATCATACCCGTGATCCATCATAAAGGAGTCAAACTTCTTATATATTGTCTTGGAGGTTGTTTGAGTCCATACAAGTTCTTTCTCAACCTACAAACAAGCTTCTCTTTACTTTTGAATGTGAAACCTTCAGATTGCTCCATATAGATCTCTTCCTCCAAGTCACCGTGAAGGAAGGTTGTTTTCACATCAAGTTGTTCAACTTCTACATTTTTTAACTTGTTGTCAAGCCAAGTACAACTCTAATGAAAGACATTTTGACCACATGTGAAAATATTTTTTCAAAATAAATACATTTTTTCTGAATAAATCCTTTCACCATCAACCTTGCTTTATATCTTGGTTGTAAGTTCTTCTTCTTTGGTTTTAGTTTGAACACTCATTTATTTTTAAGTGCTCTCTTTCCTTGAGGCAGCTTCACCAACTCAAATGTGTGATTCTCATGTAAGGATTTCATCTCTTCTTGCATGGCTTTATACCATTTGTCTTTCTCTTTATGTAACATAGCTTCTTCATAGCTTTTAGGCTCTTCCTCATCAATTAATAACATAAACTCATGAGGTGGATATTTTTTAGAAGTACAAATCTCTCTAATGGATCTTCTCAACTAAGGTTCAGGAAGAATTGATTCAGTTAGTTCATTGACTTAAGTCTCAGATATATTATCTACATTCTCTAAATCTGCATTCACATCTTCCCCATGATTAATAGCATTGTTATGAGGTTAAGGCTCAACATCAATGTACTCAGGAGCAACATGTCTTGATTTTTATTTCTTGTCAATATCTTCAATGGTCTGATCTTTAAGAAAAACAACATCTCAACTTCTAGCAATCTTCTTATTAACCAGATCCCAAAATCTGTAATCAAAATCATCAGGACCATAACCCAAAAAAAATACATTATTTAGACTTCTCATCAAGCTTAGATCTTTCATCTCTAAGGACGTGGACAAATGTCTTGCAACCAAATATCCTTAAATGATTATAAGAAATATTTTTCTCTTTGCACACACTCTCAGGGATATATCACCATTAAGAGGAATAGATGAAGATAGGTTGATCAAATCCACTGCAATTCTTAATGCCTCACCCCAAAAGGCTTTAGGAAACTTTGCATGAGAGAGCATGCACCTGATTTTATCATTAATTATGTCATTCATTCTCTCTGCAATTCCATTATGTTGAGGGGTCTTTGGAACTGTCTTCTCAAGCTTGATGTCATACTCCTTGTAGTAGTGCTCAAACAGACCTCTAAATTCACTACCATTACCTGTTCTAACACATTTCAACAGTTTGTTTGTTTCTCTTTCAACACTTGCATGGAAATCTTGAACACATCAACATTTGCTCCCATTTTCAAAGCACAAACCATAACCCCTAACCGGAGCTCTGATACTAGTTTATGGATACCAAAATTACAAGAAGTGAAAGTAAAACTAAAAAATTTCCTTTTCCTGTATAAATGACAATATGTTCCAAAAATATCAAGTAACAAATAAATGATATTGTGCACCAAAAATAGAATATCAAGAAATAAGAAGACACTAGATTTTAACGTGGGAAAGCCCTCCATGTGAAGGAAAAACCCATGGGACCTAGTTCGGTAAAAACTTCCCCTAACAATAATTAATGGATACAACACAAATTCTCTTGGAGTCACCAAGGATCAGACCAATCTCTCTTTACCAATATGGTGGATAATAGAAAACCCTAACAGGTATCTAAGAAGACAACAAAGACACAAATACAGAATAATGGAAACAACCTAATCTCTTCTCTAAGCTAACTTCTCTTAACAGAGTTACTCTGAATAATACGTTCTTCTTCTCGTGGTGACTTTTTTCTTTTTGTATCTCACCAGAGACCCTCTTCTCTGTTATCTGCCTTTATGTCTTTTGTTCTCTCTATGCCCTAAAGGACTTACATGCAAATAAAGATAATCTTATAATGAGTCAGTAGCCTATAAAGAAAAATATTCTTATTCCTTTTTATGTTAGTCAATATGAACCCAATAATGTGGATTATTATATCGAAAGTCTTCTTAACATCGGTTTCAAGCAAGCGAGTCTCGTTGAGTTGAATAACGGTACACGTAAGGTCACTACTAAAGCTTCCACTTAAGGGGGAGGTGTATCAATGTCAAAGGAAATCACACATGAGAGGGAGATTGTTGAGAATTCAAGTATGAGTTTGAAGTCCCACATTGGGTAAAAATGGGAATGTTGAGTAACTTATAAGTGAGTATGACTCATAACCTAATGTCTTAAGATTATATAATGAGATACAAATTTTACCCGAATTAATTAGTGTACTTTAGTTAACAATAACTTATGAGTCCCTAAGGAGGGAGAGGTCATTCCTATAATGATCACTAGAAGGGAAGTCTCCTCCCTCCCCCCCCCCCTTTATCCTTTAATTTACTTAATATTCTTTCTTATCTTTAATTTCCTAGAGGCAAAGTTAAATCTTGTTTTTGTAAGATTACTTAAGAACACATCTTTTTTGGAGAAAAAGAGTCGTGGAACCAAGCCTTTGAAGCATGGACAACCCATGAGGGAAGAGAAGGTCAATCATTGACCTTCTAGATGAGAAAGGTCACTGTTTTGGAGGACAACGTAACGGGTAGCTCCTTCTAGGTTAAAAATTAGGGCAACATATGCTTCTAGAATCCCTAATGAAATTCCTTCTAGGTCCTCACCCATGTCTATATATAGAAGGCTCATCAACTCTTGTAAATGGTTAGAAATTGAATGAAAATTTGAAAGCTACACTCTTGAGTGTTATTCTTTTCTTGAGTCTTATCCTGAACCTTGATTCAAGTGGCGACAATCACCACTCATCTTGGGTTGGTCCATTTGAAAGTGACGTGTCACCTCCCCTTGCTCACCCCACTTCTTCTCTTCTTCATTTTATTTCCTTTTCTTCTCTTTATTTTACTGTATTGGTTTAGGTCCATCCAATCCTTTATTTGTTGTTATTTTTGTGTTTTATTCATCTCTTCTCCTCTCTTGAATCCTAGGAAATGCACCTTAATACTTAGACAACGGATTATCTTTGTGTCCAGTAGGAATCTTCCTTAAGTTTTTTCATCTTAAATGTATCAAACACCTTATATGTTTGACTTAAAAACTAACTCATATCAATATTTTGTTATTACCCATTAAACTTGTGTAGATCACCATAATTGAAGTTAGGGTGTCCATCATGACAATTTAGTTCATATGGATTACTATATAATTGAAGTTAGGTGTTCATCATTATAATTTAGTTGATGAATTTTAGTCTTCCCAAACGACTTTTTAAAGAAATTACGAAAGTGAACCAAATCATATTTCATAAAACAACTTTAAATACGAAGAAGTGTATAATTTTTTTAAAACTCAAATTATATTACGTGATACAACGTCAATTATAATTAAATATAATTATGTATTATGATTTTAGTTTTAATTAAATATAACTTAAATTGTGTGATAGGCATTAGTTATATGTAATTTTTTAGAAAAACTTAATAATTTATATATAAAATTAAATATATATATACATATATATTTTGTTTTGTTTAAAAACAAAAGTGTCTCGATTTCATGTTTATGTTTGATATTGTTTATTTTTTTAACTCTAGTTCATCATAATTTTATCCTTAAAAGACACCTCAATGAGTTAAAAAGGAATATATATATATATATATATATATATATATATATATATATATATATATATATTAGATTTCGAAATCAAATAACGTCTCATCTATAAAAATTGAAATATTTTGAAAAAAAAAAATTTCAAAATATTTGAATTGGTACACCAAATAAATAGGACAATTCTGAAGGTTTTGTGCACTTTTTTTTATAGTTAAGTCCAATTCTCATCAATACAGAAGTAGTACACCTAAAAAAAAAGCTAATTCGCCAGCTTTATTTGCAATTTCTGATGGAGTCAAATTATCTTCAATACGAGTCAAGGGAATAAACCCCTGTTCTATTGTTTCCATATAAATGATACTCTCATAAGTAAGAGTATTATCATTAATCTCGACTCTAAAATATATGGTACTAATGAGTATACCAAATCATATATATATATATATATATATATATATATATATATATATATATATATAATTTACAATAACTTTATATCTAAATTTTACATTAATACATATATAAAAAATATATAAATATTAAAAAAAAAAATTAATTTTTATATATACATTTTAAAATATTATAATTTATATGTATAATATATTTAAAAATATAAATATTAAATTTATTAATTATATTAATAACTTTAATATATACTTTTAAATCATTGTAATACTATATAAATTTACTAAAATAGATATTATTAAGTATATTAATTTTAGATAATATATATTATATTAATGATAATTTACAATTAGTTTTTATATATAACTTTTTAAAAATTAGATATAATTGAAGTTATACTAACGATTCTTCGAAATTAAAATTGTTCTAAGAAATACGACTTTATCTACCTTCATAATTTTTTAAAAATATTAATTTTGATAAAATTTAAAAAAAATAATCGTCCCTTTATTTAAAACACACACTCACACACTCTTATTTGAATGTCTAAATTCTTCCATTTCCAACAAACTACTATATCATCAATATTTCTCTAAAATACAACTATCTTATAACAAATCTATCTTTGGTCTCATCGCACTTAAGCACCAATATCCTCCCATGAAATTATAACTTTCATTCTATATATGATTTTAGTCCCAACATCTTTGAGCACCAATTAAATACCAATTAAATCATTTCTCTTTGCATCTCATTATAAATATTCAATTTTTTCATACAAAATTTAGAAACTTTTAATATATATATATATATATATATTATAAAATAAAAATTAATGAATCATATTAGGAAATAATTTTTAATGCAAATTATATTAATAAATATATACTCTTAAAACTTGTTTTCAATAAAAATTAAGAAAATGTGGATCTTTTAAGCAAATTAAAAATTTAATAAAAATTGTAAATTTTTACAAATCATCAAGCAAATAGTCATCATACTGCGAATTAACATGAGTCAACATTAAACTATAAGTCTAACATTTTTTTACAATTTTGTTTTTACAATATAAAAAAGAAAGTCTGGATACTATGCGTTTCTAACTTTTAATTTATAAAAGAAAAATTCTATTTTAAAGTATGAAATGAAATCCAAAAATATACAGACATGATTTGGAAATAAAGGTTTCAATTTGGAAAACATGGAAGTTCTTTATTTCAAAAGTTTTTGAATGATTCGGAAATCGAATTTGAATATTTGTATGCTCTATTTAGGGAAAAAAAATGGGTTTCATTATATTATCCTGATAAATAAAACTTTAAAATTGCATACAATTGAGAATCAAAAGTTGACTTGGTTTGGCCTTTTTCAGCTTAAATATCAAGAAATTAAAAAATTATAATTTTATAAAAGTGGAAAGCTCATCGAACCAAGATATAGAATATGTAATTAGAATTTTAAATTGCTTTCCAAACTATTAATGATTATTTTTCGATTTATTTAATAATGAACTCCTATTTTATTTTTTTAATTTAATAAATTAAAAGTTTATTTATTTTTTTATAAAAATGATGACAAAATCATTATTATTGTAAGATTAAAATGAAGTACGTTTCATGTTATGGTAACAACGTTATTAATTTATTTAAGAATTAGATATATTAGTATCGATAAAATATCTTTTAGGTATTAGTACTAATAAATATTTTATTATTATGATATCATTAATGTTGTGCTTTTTTTCTTTCTTATTACATTTATATTAACTTTTTCTTTGCATATAAAAAAATTACAAATAAACAACCCCCAACTTCAACTACTTTTGTGGTACTGTTACTCAGATAAAAACAACAACATTTACCCGACTTTAAAAATAACTAACTCTACAGATACTGTTTAGAAATATTTTAAAATATACTAAAAAAGTTAAAAATATATAATTTTATATTTATTTTAACATGTTATGATTAACAACACCTTCTTAATAAGAGACTAAATAAAATAAATAAAACTGAGAAGTGTATGTAGGGTTTATTTCAGATAGATAGCGAGTAGATTAAAGATGGTGATGGTGGTGCACTGAAGAACAGTGGTGGAAGGATGAATGATAGTTGTGTGCGCTGCACGTTCGAATTAAAAACACAAAAAGTTGATATACCCGAAAAAACAGAAACAGGGACCCTCGCATTTCATACTTGATAGTTTATTTATTTATTTATATACATTTTATTTTCCTCCTCCTTCAATCTCATTCTTCACCTGCAAATCCTAACCGTCAATCCCAACGGTTCTCTCCGCCGACACCGTCGTCGCACCGAAGCATCGGAAACGACACTGTTATGGGCATGGACTACTACAACATACTCAAAGTGAATCGCAACGCCAGCGATGACGATTTGAAGAAAGCGTACAAGCGCCTCGCCCGCATATGGCACCCCGACAAAAACCCCGACAACAAGAGCGAGGCCGAGGCCAAATTCAAGCGAATATCTGAAGCCTATGATGTCCTCAGCGACCCTCAGAAGCGCCAGATCTACGATCTCTACGGCGAGGAGGCTCTCAAATCCGGTCAGTTTCCGCCGCCACCGCACTCCTCCTCCTCCTCCCGCGCCTTCCACCGCCACAACCCCCCCGCCTCCTCCTTCCGCTTCAATCCCCGCGACGCCGCCGACATCTACGCCGAGTTCTTCGGCCCGGACGACGTCGGCTCGTCGCGCCGCGATGCCTTCTTCCGGACCTCAAACGGCGGCCCCGCGTTCGGCGCCTCCGCCCCGAGGAAGGCCGCCCCGGTGGAGAATGCGCTTCCCTGCAGCTTGGAGGACCTCTACAAGGGCGTCAAGAAGAAGATGAAGATCTCCAGGAACGTCTGCGACACTTTTGGGTAAAACAGAGCCTTATCTTTAACCTAATCTCAAGTAATGTGCTTGCTTCAGATTGTTTCGTGGGTTTTATTTTTTTCTTCGGTTAATAAGCTCTTTTGCGTGTGTGTATGCGTGTGAAATGGTTGATTATAGATTAATGGGTGTCATTTTGAACGGAGGGTGAAAGTTAAGTAGAGTAAAATTGAAAACGTATTGGTTGGAGTTACTGTTTAATTCCAATTTCTATACCTGTACTTGACCAATTGTGTGAATGTGTTTGTGCATGCGTTTACCATGAAGGATTGCCATAGCTGTAAGTTCTATAGTTGTAGTTGCAAATTTCAAATTCTCTTTATGACATTGAAGTCACAAGCCTTTAGTTTAGCGTTTACCTACTACACTTTGTTTCCCTTGCCCTTTGACTTAATAGAACTATGTAGTGGTTTGTTCTTGAAGTCTAAATCTTTGACTGACTAGGCGATACGACTTTTTTATTTGGTCCTCTTTTGCTTTTGACATTATGCACCTTTTCCCCATTTGTATGTTGCTTATCTATGTTTGGGTCATTTATCATTCTATATTTGGGTGGAAAGATATGGTGGAGTATTGTTATTTACCTTGAAGCTAAAGGCCGAAGGTGGACTTGGTGGAATAGTTAATGATGTTAGGTTTGACATTGGGGATCATGTATAACGTAAATATGAATCCCATAATGAATCTATACATTGTCACTCTACTGTTTCTAGTCTACGGATACAAGGATGTTGTTCCTAAGTGTTAGTATAACATCCCAAAAAGTTGTTTTCGCTCACATTGGAATCTTGAGTGTTCATTTGTTTTGCTTTTGACCTTATGGACACAATCAATTGTTGTGAACGGGAATTCAGTGAGGTATGCATTTTATGCTTGTCAGTAAGAGGCACGTAATGAGTGCCATGCGCACTTTGCACTTGCTTCGGATGGACTTAGTTTTGGATTATTCTTACTTTTGTTTTAAGACAATCGGTTATCAGGACCTCAGCATTTGGCTACTGTGTTGATTGAGACAAATACATGTTATTACTTTGCAGTTGCCTTGATTTTAACTTGTTGCTTTAGTTATCATCACGTGTATAATGAACTTTAGGCTTCCAAACTAAGATTTCACCTTCCATTTTCACCACCCTGGCTTTTGCCTATCCTTGTAAAAGATAATTCATAATGGCACACCCTTGAATGTATGGAATGAATCTAATGGCCTCTATGCATAGTTCATATAATTTGAAGGTTAGCTCTAATATAATTTAATGTGGCTAATTTTAAGAAGATTGTTTCGCTTGTACTTTATTGTTGTTGGTAATTACAATATACAATTGACAAAAATCTAACCATATATTTATTGTACTTTATATTTTCAAAATTTTTGTGATTTAAATGGAGAAAAAAATGTTTACTGTTACCTTTTCATTCTCAAAATTTTGAAACCCATGGCAGGACAAAAAGAAAATAATTTGTGAATATATGTAAAGCAGGAGCTTTCTGCTATCATTAAAATATGGGATGAAGAATATAAAATTGAAGTTTAGCTAAAGCCCATTTAAATAAACATGAAGTGATTAAATTGAAGGCTGTGTATACATATATGTTTTTCTTACCTATATGGAATGGCGTGAAACAATGTTGTGTTCATTAGTCATTCTGGAATTTAACTTGGTTTGCTTGTCAAGGAAGCCTTTTCTTCGTAATAAGTCAGCTTGCTAAATATATCTGTTATAGTGCATTTACATTGGAGGTAATCCATATTAGATACAATGTGAGGTTTACTTTGCATGGACTAGAATAAGATATCCATATTAGTTTCAGATAAATGTGCCTAGTACGAGATTGTCTGCCTTTTGACTCCATAAACTTTCATAACGAATTATTGAATCTGTGATTCATGAAATTGCTCTGATTGCTTCATGTATAGTAAGATTCAGAGTTATCCCAGATCTGCCGAATGATACAAATCAATAGCTAGCCTAATCATAAGATTCTAGTAACTAGGTTTAGACACAGGTCTTCTAAAATTCAAATATAGAAGTTGCAGAGTATTTGAAAATTGCAATCTGACTGTTAATCTAATTGCTCGATTATCCAAGAACCTGGTAAAGATTTGCCGTGTCTGTACTGACACTATAAACGTCTCTTTATGGACAATTTTTGCTTTGTTCTAATACATCTGAGAAGTGGGTATTTGTATTTTAGACAATATTTGACACTTGCAATGGAATTTCAGCAAAACTCGGAATGTGGAGGAGATTTTGACTATTGAGATAAAACCTGGCTGGAAGAAAGGGACAAAGATTACCTTTCCAGAGAAGGGTAACCAGGAGCCTGGTGTCATTCCAGCAGATATTATTTTTGTGATAGATGAGAAACCGCATGCTCTTTATAGAAGGGATGGTAATGATTTGGTGATCAACCAGGAGATAACCCTTCTCGAGGCCCTTACTGGTAAAACATTGGAACTAATCACCTTAGATGGAAGGAGTCTCGTGATACCATTGACAGATATTGTCAAACCTGGTGCCGAGGTTGTTGTCCCTGATGAAGGAATGCCTATCTCAAAAGAGCCTGGGAGGAAGGGGAATTTGAGAGTTAAGCTTGACGTCAAGTATCCTTCAAGGCTAACTCCAGAGCAGAAGTCTGATCTGAGGAGAGCTTTAGGTGGAATCTCATGAGTATGTGTTTGGTATTTCGTGTCACTGCTGAATGCACGTTGTAAATATCATGTGCATACTATTCATGCATGTGAATAACAGGAATACTCCACGGGTGAAACTGAGTATGAAGGGCTAACATACGATGAGCCCACCATAACTTGACATTTGGACTTTTTTGCAGGCTAGGAACATAAGCAAGTGTTTGGAAATCAGTGGAAGTGTCAATCTTAGTGAAACAGTTAGGTAGGTAATTTAACTTAGTTTCCATCATTTCATAAACTTGTTTTTCCTTTTGATTAAAGTCGTGATGATTACTAGTCTTGATAGGATCACAATGAGTCATGCTCATACCATGAAAATTGTATATATTGATTTTTTTTTTATGAGGTTCCTTTATTGATGTGCTGTTCTTTTAAAACTTGGAAGTAGTATTGCTTTATATGCGCTTCTATTTCACCCTCGTTTATTCTGCCAAAAAAACTTGATGTATAATGAGGCTAAGTATTCTTTTTCTATGTTGATAAACTGTTATACATGTATTACAGAGCCTCGCATATTTGGTACGTTACATCTCAAGAAATATGCAGGAATACTTTGTATATGAATTTTTCTTTACTTGAAACTCTTGAGTATATTTGAATTTCTTTTCCAGTTGTGGTGGAGATTGTGTTTTGTTGGTGAATGATAAAAATTGTATATTACTTTCTCTCTACTATAATTCTGATTCTATAATATTCTTTGTTCAAATTTAATAATAATATAATAGGAGGCACAAAATTTGGATTAAAGGATAATAGAAATATAGAGTAAATTAGGATTCAACGTTTATGTTAATTTCTTTTCTGAAAATTTGTACTTTTCAGAACAAAATTTCAATAGAATGTAGGGTTTATGATTTAGATTTGTTATTAATATATTATTAAAATCAATTCGCAATTAATTGTATTTTTTATTTTAATATTATGGAAAGTAATGTGTGGAATGTTAAATTGTATGGCATTTCCAAAATCAACCTTTTACAAGAATAAGCTTCTTTAACACTTTCGGAAGACATTTTTTAGAATAATAAGTTTTGATACGTTTGTTTAGAAAATACTTTATGAAAAGTTTATGGTTGTATACTTCTCAAATGTTACATTTTCTTTAATACTCGTAGAAAAAATATTTTAGAAAATTAATATTTAAAAAGGAAGATAAAATTGAAGTATAAATAAATCTAACAGGTGTAAATAACAACTTTCTTTAAGTTTTATTCTGCAACTTTACTTTCCTACGAATCATGGGCTTTGTCGTTTAGCTAAAGGTTATGGATTTCGGCCCTTGTTCACGTCTTTTCCAAATAAATACTAACAAAACAATTTTCAACAAAATAAATAAATAAGTGTTTCAATAATTTTATTGATAAAAAGTAAATTCAGTATTCTTTTTATCTTCAAATTCCATTTCTGTCTATTTTGTATTATGTAGTTAAAAAAATTGGATTATATATATATATATATATATATATATATATATATATATATATAAAAGTCTAATTTTTTAACCTCTATTAATATTTTAGTCATTTCTGGAGTCCATGGTTTAGGATTTTTTCTTAATCTAGTAAAGAGGGGTTTACATAATATTCGAATATTAGGTATAAATTCTGATACATAGTTTAAGTAGCTTAGGAATATTTGTAGTTGCAGTTTATCTTTTATTTCATTAGGAAATTTTCTGAAAATTCAATACTCCTTTTAATGGGGTTATAGTTCCTCGATTTATTTCATGACCTATTTCTTTTTGCAAGTCTTGTAAATTTACTGGTTTTTCTTTATTTATTGCTTTTCGTAATATTTTTGAGAAATCATAACCACTTACTTCTGTTGCTACATTTTCTGCTTCTCTTTCGTTTAATATTAAGGTTTTAATTTAGTTAAATATTCTAGCTTGTCTTCTTCATTTGGAAGTTTATCTACCATTTCTAAGGCTATTTTAGTTTCGGTAGTTAAAACATTAATATTAAATATGCAATCACAATTTTCTTCATTCTCATTTTCACTAGGATTAGTGGTATTTTCATCTTCGCTACTGCTGGTTTCGATTAAATTATTTATATCTTCTTCTGATTCATATAATAATATTTTTACTATTTGAGTTTTTACTTCTTCACTCATATCTAGGTTTTGTATTCTTTCTCGGACTCTACAATCTTTTTTCATATGTCCGTATCTTCCACATTTATAACAAACTATTCCTTTCTTTGAATTAGGTTGATTACTATTTATAGGAGTTTTTGTTCTTATGTTACTTTTAAAGTTTCTAGGGATTTTTCGATTATTATTCTGAGAAAATTTTCTTTTGATTATTTGTTTTTTCTTATTTTTTCTAGAAGGAGGATCTAATTTTTCATATCCATATTGAATGCAAAAATCTCCTAATTCTTTTGTTCCACTTTCTTGTTGTCTTTTAATCTATTTTTCTAACTTTAGATTATTACATATTTTTAAGGCAGTATTTTAAATAGTTGAAATTATTTTTCCATAGGTTATATCTTGCAAAGGTTCATGATATTTTTGGGAAAATTTTTCTCATACTTTTATTGCAAATACTGGGGGTAGTCCAACAATAAATCTTTCTTTCCAAAATATTTTTTTGCAGTCTGTTCTAGTCATTACCATGATTATAAAATTGACTACATACCATCGCAAGTCTCCTAGAGTGGGGCATTTTAGATTATGTAGCAGGGTACTAGTTTTTTCTTCAAATGTGTTAGAATCGCCCATAAAATTATGGATAATTGATATTATTAAGGTTTCTACCATCAGAGGTATTTGTGTATTTCTGTCTTGTTTTACTGCTGTTAAAATGAATCTTTTTTTATCTGTGGATAGATAATTTTCCTACCATCCTTTTAAGGATCCGGTAAATCCTAGGATTAATAATTGTATTGTTTGTTCTTCTGAGTTTTTTGCCCTATATGCGGAGGTTGTCATGGTCATTTCATTAGTTTTTCGTAATAATTGATAATCCGTTAGTTCATCTATGTTCCATTCAGTTATTCCTGTTCCATTAAAGGCGGATGGACTTTCTAAATTCTATTCTTCAAATTGTATGTCTGGTAGGGTTGGTCTCCTATAATAATTTCTAGTAGTTGGAATATTATAGTAGTTGGCATATTATGGGTAGTTGGATTTACATTAAATTTACTTCCTATTCTATTTATCTTTTCTTCATAATCTATATTTTCTAGGTTTCCTAGTTCTTCCTCTGGGATGTCTATAACATTTAATTTTCTTACATTTAATTGTTCTAATTTTTTATTTATTTCTTCTAATATTTTGTCTTATTGATTTCCTATTTTAAACTTTTTATATTCTTTATCGGATAGTCTTATAGGGTTTATTAAAGATTTTTGTAGGTCAGTTATTCCTAATGGATTTTTATTATTTTGTGAAATTTCTTCCTCAATAGTTTTTTGAGCTATTTGGTGTAATATTTGATTTGTAAAGTTTAGCTGACTATGCAGATTTTGAATATCATTTATGTTAGGAGTATCACTAATGTTTCTTTTTTCTCCTATCATTTTGAAGGGTGATGCAATTACTTCTTTATTCTCATTGTTAGGAAATCTTACTTCTTCTAAAGGAGGGATTTTGCTAATTATTTCTTTATTTTTTGTTTTCCATATTTTTTCAGCATTTTGTAATACATTAATTTGTAAATTTTCTAAACAGTTTTCTTCAAACCATTTAAAGTACAGTATGTTTTCTTGAATTAAGTTTAAATGCTTATAATATTTTTCGCGGTATTCTTTTAATTCATTTTGAGTAAAAGTCTTAAAAAATCATTCTCTTTTTTCTTGATTCTTTTCTTCTAAAAATTCATGTCTTAAAAGGTCTTTGTTTATTTCGAATTTGGTTATTACATTTATTATACTATCATCTTGATGTATTTCGGAAGCAGAAGGAGAATTATGGATTTCTATATTTTCATATTCATATTTTGGCATTGGGATCGTGGGGTCTTGTTTTATTCCTTTTAGTTTTAAACTTCTATGATGCATTAGACTAGATTGGTCTATTGATCTTCTGGCTGTTACAAAATTATTTCTACTGGATGTTCCTCTTAATAAATTTACTCTTCTGATTGGGGCAAAAGATATTTCTATTGTTCCTGATTTATATTCAATTATATTTTCAACTTCTACTAGTTCTGGGAGTTCTGGTTCAAGTAGATCTTCTAGCCTCCAGCTAAGACCACTCGATATTTCAGTGTGTTTTAACGTTTTTGGTATTACTGCATTAACTTTTCTGGGTTTACTAATAACATGGTTGTTTCGTCTTTTGGGGACATTAATAAGGCTCCAGGTGCCAATTGGGTTTTCATTATTTTATAATAAATTCTCTATATTATTGTTATAGGTATTGATTTTGGATTTCATACATTTTCGGGGATTTTAATATCTATATTATTTTCCGTATTATGAAGACTTTTAAGGGCTATTGAATAATTTGGGTAATTATTTATGTATACTGGTCCATTATGAAGATTTGTTTCAAACATTGCCAATATTTGATTTTCAAGTTTTACTAATCTATTGTCTCTTAAGGCAACGAACATTGGTGTATCGATTCCTTTTTTGAAGAGAGGTTTTATCACTATTTGTATAGATCATATATGAAGATATCTACATTCTTTTATATGTTCGGCTATTAGAGTTTTTGTTAGTAAGGGTATTTTTTCATGACTTGATTGTAGCTCTATTTCTTTATCTATCGTTTTTATTATATATTCAGATTTAAACATGTCTTTCCAATTTGTTTTATAAATAGTTGATATTTCGAGTTTTGGAAGAGTCCATTTATTAAGTTTATTTTCTATTTTGCGAATAATTAATTCATGGTGTACTATGTTCATGTTACTGGTTTCTTCTTGTGTATTCTTATTTTCTTCAAACTTTTCTTTTCCTTTAGATAAAAGTTTTATTAATTTCGCCATCCTAAGGCCAAGGTCTAAGATGCTCGGGAACACCACAG